CGTCATGCTTGCTTTGCTTGCTTGCTTGCTTGCTTGCTTGGTATCGTTTCGCTCTTCATTCTCTTCGGATTCTTTCTCTCAAATCCCGGCTTTTTTTTTTTCCGCGCCGCCCTGCTCTGCGCGAAACCTTCTGTGCAACTACCGCTACCTTTCGGCTTGGCGTAGTGGTTTGTTGTTTGCTGTTGCTCAGGATTGCTGCCGCCCGCTTCCTCTCCTCCCCGAGGGCCACCCAGGCCCTCTCTGTCTCCCTCGCCTCCTTTCGGCACAGATTAATAGGAGGGGGACGGCCCACCGAGGCCATTTGTTCCCTTCGCGGAAGAAGAAGAAGAAGACGAAACTGGTTGGGGGGGAGGTGCGCGAGTGAGTCGGCGTTTGCAAAGCAGGGTTTCGGGCCGCGGAGAGGCCCCACCTACGCGATCTCGCGTCACCTAGGGTGCGCCCTTGCCCCTCCAGCACGGCCGGATTGGCCTGGCCCCGGGAGGGGGACCGGGCAACAGGCCGCTGGCTTTAATTTCGGCTTTTGGAGCGCGCCTCTCCGGCCCCTCGGAACATTATTCGCCTTTTGGCCAGTGGCAGGCCGGCCGTCGGGAGGGGGATCACGGACGACTGGGCGCCCGCCCTCGTCTCCGTCCCTGCGGGCCGACCTGCGACGGAAGAGAGCGAACCTCCACGTCTTGAGAGGGAAAACGCCGGGGACGCGGGAGCGAGTTCCTGCCCAAAGCTCAGGAACCCGCGCCCTCTCTGGTCCGGTACGAACTCCCCAGGGCGGAATCGCCGGCGCGAGAGCCAGCAGGCGAGGCAGGCGGGCAGGGCAGGCAGGCGAGGCGGCACATGCCGCGCCGCCGACCGCGGCCGCCCGCCCGCGGTCGCCCGCCGCTCCCGCACCTCGGAACGGTCGAGAACGGAAGCCTCGGCCGGCAAAGCCGGTGACGGGACCCGGACTCCGTTGTGCTCTTGCGGAAACGCTCTCCCCCACCCCCCCACGCGGAGGGGGAGGAGAGAGAGCGGCACCTACACGGCGCGTTTCGCTCACTCTCAAATAAGATTCTCGTAGCGCCTTCCGAGGGGACGGCGGGGAGAGCTCGCGCAGAGGAGCAGCAGCCCGCAGTCGTCATATTGTCTACCGGGAGGCAACGTCACGACACTCGAGGGAAGGTGGCAGGCCGTCCTTCGAGAAGGCACAGGGCCGCCGCAATGTGCGTTCGACTCGTCGTGGAATCACGGGAGAATTTGCGATAGCCACCAAAACATCGCTTCTTGCCGCGGTCTCCTCGACCCACGAGCCAAGTGTATCCCCCGTTTAAGAGTCTTTGCTGGGTTTATCTCATTCGAGTTCACACTACTACTCGATGGCCTCCCACTCCAAGGGCCTCGAGGGGAGGGTACAACCTGCGCTCCTGAGAAAGACGCGTGCCCACGGCGCCGGGCGCGGCAAAGGGGGTGTGCCGCTTTTTCCGGCGCCGTCGGACATCGTAGGGCCCCGGTGAACCAGGCGGGGTGACAAAGACTTATGGGTTCGGCCCTTCCCCTCCTCCCCGCCCTTCCGGACGGGGAAAAGAAGGCCGGGGAGCCGTGCCGAGAGCCCCCGCGGAGGGGGGCTACGGCATGAGGAGCGACGAGGACGAGAGGAGGCAGGTTGCAGGGGGAGATGGGGGGGGGGGGGGGGGGGCAGATGCCAACCCCCAAATCCCGCCCCTTCCTTTTTAGCCGCTGGCTCGCCCGCCCGCTCGCCCGCCGCCGTACGTTGTTAGACTCGCGCCCAACCCGGCCGCTCGGGTTGTAAGAGAGAGAGTTGCCTCTTTCGGCAGGCCAGGCCGGCAGGCAGGCAGGCAGGCAGGCGGCGACAGGCGCAGCGGGAGGGGGGCCGGCGGCCGCCACCATACTACTTACTGCTGTGCTGCTGCTTGCTGCTGCTGCTTGTCTACGCTCGCTCGCTCGTATTAGCACTCGTTAATGATCCTCCGCAGGTTCACCGATCGGAAACCTTGTTACGACTTTTACATTCCTTAAATGACCCAGCTTGGACACCTTTCCGTCGACCCGAGGGGGCGTGGCCGCGCCGAGTCGTCCCCCACGGTAGCGGCTCCAAGGGCGCCAGGTCCGGTGCCTCACTCGACCATTCAATCCGGTAAGTAGCGACGGCGGTTTGTACAAAGGGCAGGATAAAATCGGGCAATCTGGTGAATTGCGCCTACTGGGAATCCTCGTTCATGGCGGAACACTTTGCAAGCCCCAATCCCCTTTAAGGGACAGCTTTCACGAGGTTACCCGCTCCTTCGGAGCAGGGACAGCTCGTGAACTCTCCATTGTAGCGCGCGTGCGGCCCCAGAACATACTAAGGGATCACAGAACTGTTATGGCTCTAAACTCTCGTGCGGCTAGTATATTTTTTGCTGCCGCTTATCCCTCTAAGAAGAAGACTGCGAAGCGGGACGCCAGTTTCCGGCGACGCGGGGCGCTCCGCCGGCGGCGTAACCAACCGACGTGGAGGCCGCGCGACGGCGGGTTACGGGGAACGAAGCCGACGCCCGAGGGCGAAGCTGGGCGATAGACGCGACTATTATGCAGGCTAGAGTTCTCGTTCGTTATCGGAATTAACCAGACAGATCACTCCACCAACTAAGAACGGCCATGCACCACCACCCACCGAATCTGAGGAAAGAGCCTTCATTCTGTCAATCATTCCGGTGTCCTGGCCTGGTGAGTTTCCCCGTGTTGAGTCAAATTGAGCCGCAGCTCCACTCCTGGTGGTGCCCTTCCGTCAATTCCTTTAAGTTTCAGCTTTGCAACCATACTTACCCCCGGACTCAAAGACTGTTGTTTCACGGAACTACCCGCAGGGTCACATGGGAATAATGCGGCGGATCGCTAGTCAGCAATCGTTTTAAGGTTTAGAAACTAGGGCGGTATCTGATCGCCTTCGAACTCCTAACTTCGTTCAGGGATCAATGAAAAATCCTTGGGCAGATGCTTTCGCTCAGTAGGTCGTCATGCGACGGTCTAAGGAATTCACCTATCTAAGCGTCGCAGTACGAATGCCCGCCGTGGCTTCTATTAATCTTACCTCGGTTCTGAAAAAACCGACCAAAAAAGACCCGAGGTCCTGTTTCTATCATTCCAATGCACGACCATTCGGGCTGTAGAGCAAAGACCAAGCTGCTCTGGCACTCTAATTTTTTCAAAGTAATGTTGGGGGGGGGGCGGCCACAGGGGGACACCGGTTAAGGGCATAAAAAACCCCGTGCGCGCCCGGCGGGGACACAGCTCGGAACCCGGCAGTAGCCGCCGCTAAGGCGGACCGCCGGTCCGGAGCAGAAGTCAAACTACGAGCGTTTTCAACGGCAACAACAATTACGATAGTGGAGCTGGAATTACCGGGCGGGCTTGCACCAGACTTGCCTCCACTCGATCCTCGTACAAGGATTTAAAAGTGTAGTATTCCAATTGCTGAGGCCCGTTCGGGCTCGCAACAGTATTTTTTCGTCACTACCTTCCCCGTGCGGGAGTGGGTATTTTGCGCGCACTGACTGCCTTCCGTAGATTGGTAGCCGTTTCATAGGCTCCCTCTCCGGAACGAACCCTGGATTCCCCGTATACCCGTGATAAGCCATTGTAGGCGTTTAAACTACAATCGAGAGCTTGATAAGGCCGACGCATGAGGACGCGGCGCCGACTCCAACCGGGTTACGGGAGGGGTTCGGCGCTCGGCGAAAGTTATTCTGAATCACCAAGGGATCGCGGCCGACCGGTGAAGGGCCGGTCGCCGAGGGTTTTGGTCTAAGACAGCGCTCCTCCCTCCGGTCCGTGAGATACAAAGGCATGTATTAGCTCTAGAATTACCACAGTTATCCAAGTAGTGCGGTTCAGCAGAGATCCAATGAGTTATATCTGATTTAATGAGGCCAGTCCGCGGTCGCTTAAGTCGGCACCTGTATTAAACATGAAGGCTAATCTTTGAGACAAGCATAGGACTACTGGCAGGAATCAACCATGTAGAAATAGGTGGAAAAAAGAAAAAGCAAGAGAAGACCAACGAAAGCGACTGTCCGGTAGTCGTCGTTCGTCTCCCTTTCTTTCTTGTTCGTGCTGGGACGAGCGGGAGGAGGAGGAGGAGGGGAAGGCTTCAGGAGGGAAGGGGCAGGAGGAGCGCGGGGGGGGGGGGGGCGGCATTTTGCAGCGCATTTGCATCGCTGCTCCGCCGACGGCCGCACCCACCCACACCACGGCGCTCGCTCCTCCTTCGTCGTCGTCTCGCCTTCGACTCTCTCGCTGGCTCGCTCGCTTCGACCCTGTTCCTCGGCTTTTCGCAGGGCCAGCCCGCGCAGCCCTCTCCCTTTACCGCGCGCTCCCACGCCCGCGCCGCCCGCGCGCCCGCCGCCGCTGCTCGCGGCCCCCGCCCCAAAGGGGCCAGGGGGAGCGAGAGGGCGGGAGGGAGGCAGGCAGGCAGGGGAGGGGAAGGAGAGGTTGCAGCAGGGAAAGAGGGGGCGCGGACCGGCGGATGGCATCTCAGGGTGCGCCGCACGCAGGGGTGGGAGAGAACAAGCATTGCCGGGCCAGAGCAACGGCCGCGGCAGGCTCCCACCCGGGCGCGATCCCTTTCTCGTCTCGTCTTTCTCTCTTTTTTCGCTTCTTGCCATCGTCGTAAAGGGGTCGCAGGCCCTTCGCAGGGCCTGCGAAGGGGCGGGGGCGCTGGGGCCCCCGAGCCTCCCTCGCGCACACGCACGCACGCGCGCGCGCGCGCGGTAAGGGAAGGGGTGTGTGATTGCCGGGGGTTTCTTCAGCTCTCGCCGCAAGGGTGTCAACACAACCCGGGATCTAGCTCGACGCTATCGACGCAACAACGTGGCCGAAGGGAGAAGAACCGCAGGGAGCTCGACCGTCGCGAGGGGGAGGCCGCGCGGGGGCGGCACTCGGAAACCATTCCGAACGTCTAGAATGCAGCGGTCGCCTGTGTGAAGGGCAGGGGCCACAACCGACCTCGAGAGGGGGCGGCACGGGGAATGGTTACCCCGGCGGCCCCCGGCCGGATGCGTGGGCGCGAGCCCGCGACCTTTGCTGTGCGCTGCGGCTGGGCCATGGCAGCCAGGAGGCTGCCCGCCTGCCGCTCGCCAACCTACCAACAACCTCTTCCACGCGCCCAGCACCAACAACACCACCACAAAGGGCCTCGGCAACAGGGCGGCGGGGGAGGGAGGCCATTGGGGAAGGGGGATGAGGGACCGGAGACGCGCAGGGACGCGTGCCTCCTTACAGCTGCCAAAAACGCCCGTTCGCCCAACACCACCGCGAACAGGGGCCGCCCCCGCCCGCTCGTCAGGGAGGACACCCCCTCCAGGGGGACCCACGCCCTCGCCGCACCGCGGCTTCGCTCTGGGGACCTCCCCGAGCCCTCGCTGCCTCGGCCTCAGAGCCCTCTCAGGAGGCGGCGGAGGGAGGAAGGAGGGCCCGACCAGGGCCTGCCTGCCTGGACACAACCAACCCCGCCCGGGGACGGCGGGGAGCCGACCACGCTCGGGATACCCGTCCGCGGCCGCGAGGGAGCCCGCCCACCGAGGCCTCGTCGCCGGCCCGGCGCCGCCCGCCCGCCAGCCAGCCAGTCCCAAAACGCCAGCGACCCAAATTCGTACCCATACACTTGTCGCCGCGGCCGTTCGCACCACCACCCCAAACGGCCGCCCTCTCGCCCGCCCGTCAAGGCGCACGCCCCCTCGCAGACCCCGACAGAACCGAGGCTCCGGGAACGCCCTCGCTCGCCGCTTCTCCCGCACCACGGACACGGGCCCAATGGCCCCAGGCCTCGCTCCGCCACCAAGGCGTCCTCTCCGACCGCCAACGCCCCTTTCCGCCGCGGGCCCCGCACCACAACAGCACCAGACCAGCGGCAGCAGGGGCCCGCCCCCGAACAGACCGAGGCCTACGGGAAACGCCCTTCGCTCCGCCGCTCTCCCGCCCACGGACACGGACCAAGGGACCCAGGCCTCGCTCCGCCACCAAGGCGTCCTCCTCCGACCGCCAACGCCCCTTTCCGCCGCGCCCGCACACACCAGCCACAGCCCCGGCCCCGCCGCCGCCGCCGCCGCCGCCGCCACCACAAGGCTGCCCCGGAACCAGCCTTGCCGGGAAGGGGAGGGAGCCGGCACCAGCGGCAGCGGGGCCCGCCCGACAGACCCAGGGCTCCGGGGACGCCCTCCTCGCTCGCCGCTTCTCCCGCCCGGCCACGGCCACGGCCACGGCCACGGCCACGGCCCAAGGACCCAGGCCTTGCCCGCGCTCCCGGACGCCCGGGAGGCCCGGGAGCGCGCAGCCCGGCTGCGGCCCGCAACACAGGCAGGGCGAAGCTGCTCGGAGGCAGGGAACGTTGCTGCACGGCCGGACCAAGAGGCCAAGAGGCGAGGGCCAGCGTGCGCGGGTGGTCGAAAAAGGGGCCTTGCCCGCTCGCAAGGCCAACGGCAACGGCGGCAAGCGACCGTCCGCACACGGCCTGCCTGCCTGCCGTCCGTCGTCCGTCCGTACAGTCCCCTCGGCCGCCGATGGGCCATCATCCCCTCGCTGCTGGCCCCGGCAAACCACGGACGGCCTGCCTGCCGGCCTGCTTGCCTGCCTGCCTGCCTGCCTCCCTCCGCACACAAACTGCGGCCACAGCCAGCTCGCCCCCTTACCGCTAACCCCACCGCCACGCCCGGGGGAAGGCGGCGGCGGCGGTCCCTGCCAAGCCTGTGTCACTAGGACCAAACTGCGGTCCCCCCCCCCCCCGACCCCCCCCGCCCCACAGACAGCTCGATCCCTTTTCCCGCCAACCCACCGCCACGCCGGTGAATGCGCGGTGCGGCGTGCCCTGCCTGCCTCCACAGACCAACTGCGGCCACCGCCAGCTCGATCCCCTGCCGCCAACCCACCGCCACGCCCGGGGAAGGCGGCGGCGGCGGCGGTGCCCTGCCTGCCTCCACAGACCAACTGCGGCCACAGCCAGCTCGATCCCTTGCCGCCAACCCACCGCCACGCCCGGGGAAGCGGCGGCGCGGTGCCCCTGCCTGCCTCCACAGACCAACTGCGGCCACAGCCAGCTCGATCCCTTGCCGCCAACCCACCGCCACGCCCGGGGAAGGCGGCTGCGACGCCCTGCCTGCTTCCGCAGACAAATTGCGGCCACAGCCAGCTCGCCCCCTGCCGCCAACCCACCGCCAAGCCCGGGGAAGGCGGTTGCGGCGTCTTGCCTGCTTCCGCAGACAAACTGCGGCCACAGCCAGCTCGCCCCCTGCCGCCAACCCACCGCCACGCCAGGGAAGGCGGCGGGGCCGCCATGCCTGCCTCCGCAGACAAACTGTGGCCACAGCCAGCTCGTCCCCTGCCGCCAACCCACTTCCACGCCCGGGGAAGGCGGTGGCGGCGACCTGTCTGCCTCCGCAGACCAAATGCGGCCACAGCCAGCTCGCCCCCTTGCCGCCAACCTACCGCAACGGCCGGGGAAGGAGGCGGAGCCTGGGGGCGCCCAGGCCGCCCGACCGTGACCGCCATGGGGCCGCCGCCTCGCCCCGCGCGTCTCGCTCTCAGCCGCTGGCCCGGACCAGCCTTGCCCCCGCAGGGTTAGCGGCTCGGCCTTTCACACACCACCACCGGAAACAGGTCCTCCTGCTGCTCATGTCCCACCGAGCGGAGGGCTCTGAGGAACAGGCAGAGGAAGAATGGGGGGGACCCCCACACCCCCTAACCCCATCCCCCTGTAGTAGCAAGGCTTCAGTGGAGAGATCTAAGTTTTTAAAACTTTTAGCCTTTACCTCTAAGCTTATTGCTTCTAGAACTTTCTTATTTGACAAGAAACTTGTGCAATTTGAAGCCACCCTCCGAGCATAATGCTTTACTCTTCCTGATTAAAGCTATGGCTTTTGCAATTGTAGGTAAAGATGTTAACCCATCATCTACATAAAATTATTTTTTAACAGCTTCTTAGGCAGCTTCTGTTCCACAATGTCATGCATAATCATCAGCAGTAGCTTTCAGTGCAAAACTTGATACACTTGGGGGTGTAGCCCCAAATAAATGCAGTGCCATTCTATATTCTTTGATAGTTGAATCAGGATTTCCATTTTCCCACCAAAGAAAGCGTAGTAGGTCTCTGTAATCAGGCTCTACCTTTACTTGGTGGAACATTGCTTCTATATCACATGCAATTGCTACTTTCCTTTCCTAGTCTGAACAATACGCCAATCAAGTTATTTGTCAGATCTGGACCTTGAAGAGATTCTTATTAAGTGATTGATTCTTATACACAGCACTCTAATAAAAAACTAACCTAATTTTGTCAGGTTTCTTTGGATGATACACACCATGATGTGGTATATACCATATTCTTCCATCATTGAAATTTGGACCCTTCTGCATAGCCTTTGTCTATGAGATCTTTTATAAAGGCAACATAGTCTTGTAGAAAACCATTCTTTTGCTCACCCTACACATTGCTAATTCTTTACTATTTAGAAACTTGACCTTATCATCTTTAAGAAGAAGTGGCAATTCATAATGCCCATCTTTTAGTTGATGAATTCCATCTTTCATTTTCCTTAAGAAGATCTTGTCTTGATACGAAAAAGGAACATTCCCTGTCTCCTTTTCACTTCACAGCTCAAATAATTTTCGAACTTGTGCAAAATCAATTATTTTTTTTTTACTTTAGTTGGTGAGGAAAGAAAGCTACATTTTGTGTCATAAATAACATTATTGACTATTGCTTTGCTGGTTAGAACTGAATCTGAGTCACTTGTGTCTTGACAATCACCATTGATTCTCGCTATTGTACTCCAACCAAGCAAAGTTTTTCTTGCATAAGGCTCGTCATCTTTCCCAGGAATTAACTCTATCGGTTTGATGGCACGGATACAATTTAAGCCAATCAGGAGCCCAACTTCACCACTTCTATCGTATGGCATTAATTCGTTTGATATTCTCTGTAAATGAGGCCACCCTTCTACACTTTCTGGTCTTGGAATTTGACCATGTCTGGCTGGTATATCCATCCTTGAATAAGTGACTGGAAGTGCAATCTTTATCTTTTCATTTTTACCACCTACTATTATTCCTCTTGTCTTTGTACTTTCAATTGTTCTTTCACCTGTCACTGTTGTTAACTTTAGGTGTAGCTTGGAGCCTAGAATGTTTAGCTCATTCATGGTGGATTCTTTAATAAAACATGCATGTGATTGTTTAACCAATAATGCATAAACCAATACTTTTTTACGTATGTTACTTTCATGATGTATCCATATTGGTACTATCATGGAATGCATCATATCCTCTGACTTTCTCAATATCTTTATTTTATTGGAAACTGCACTATCTTTAAGTTCCTCATTAACTTTGCTCGAGTTTACCTTGTCTTCATTTATATTAGTTTCATTTGACAATGTTACTGTTTTTTTTCCAGCTTCTTGTTCCTTATACATTTTGAGTAAGGCTTCCCTTTCTTTGATTCTTTCAAGTATAGCCTCATGAGGAGGTGTTGGATAACATTTCTTACATACTGTGCATATATTCTTTCTTTTGTTTAATTCTGGTTTACCCTTCATACTACTTATTGAAAAATTGACATGAATCTGATTCATTGTCATTACTGCACTATGTGATGAAATTCACAAACCTAGATAGAAAAGTTTCTCTGCAGGTTCTGTAACTCTTGACTCTATAAAAATCTCAAAGGTATGAAGCCAGGTTGGAAACTCCAATAAAGCTCCACTGGAAATTTCTGGTTCTAGTTTAGGGAATTCACTTTTACTTTTAGATGATAAAATATTCACCACATCTTTAAAGAGTAACCACTATGTAAATTAAGTGTATGATATTAATCTCAGAATTTGCTCTTGTACCTCCAAATATGCATAAGATTTTTTTTTAATAATAATAAAAAATAACGCGTTTTATATTTATAGCCTTTTGAATGGACAAATTCTTGTTGACAAATTCTTGAGTTAGCGCTGTAGCAGACGACGCGTATTTCGGTAAAAAAAAAAATGCTTCAAAACTATATTTTTAGACAGAATTTTTTTTTTTTGCAACAAGTTGCTTTTGAAAAAGTAGTATCTCAGCAATGAAAAAATGCAAAGTTGTGCACAAACTTCGTGGTTACCCTTTAAGTACATTAATGTCTATAGCTTGACTTGATCTACCTTGCCCAAATGATGCATTCAAATCTTTTAACTTGTAGCTTAAGTTCTGGGCTTGCTTTTAAGAAAGTATTCTCTAATTTAGACACCTCTATCTCTAAATCACCCATACCTGATACATCATTAGAAGCCATTTCTTGTTTTGGTAAATTAGGATTTACTTTCTCAATCTCTGTAAATTTATCAATAGATTCTAAATATTTGTGAAGATGAAGTTCTTTACTATCATCTAGATCTTTACTTTGAGACAATTCTAGCTGATTTTCTTCTAGACTGGCTTTCTCTACTTCTAGTTGAGATGCAAACCTATTTCTCATAGCAAGAAATCTTTTGTACTCATATTCCTTTTCTTTCATGATGCTCTGTTGATTTATCATGAACATCTGATACTTTGTTTCCTCTTTATGAAGCTGAAGCTCAATTTGTAGTTTAGCTAATTCTGCTTGTAGTGGTTTGTGGACAGCTACTCTGCCACTCACCCTGGCTACAGGAGCTGACGAATATTCCTCGGGACGTGAATTATAGGGCATGAACATGGGCACAGTTCTGCAAGATTAAACACACACCAGTCTCCGTCTTTGGCTGCTTTATTTCCTGCTGTACAGGGTACAAAAATCACTGGCGTGTTCGACATAAATGCAGGGCATGGTATACAGCACAGATATTATCAAATAGTACCAATAATCACTAAACACGACCGAGGTTACCCGCCAACTGCCTGCCGGTGGCGACTTCACCGCGCACTCGGCGAAGTGGTTGCCACCTATCTCGGTTGTGAAAGGGGTTGGGTGTGGACCGCGAGCTCTCTCCGACCTAATACTCATGACAAGTTCTCTTGGAGGTGGGGCGTTTAATAAAAAGACGCAAGGGCGTACTGCTGGGTATTAGTAAGCGCATCCATGAAAGAAAAGACCACCAAGTGGCAACATGGCCATTCCCCGTTCGCATACATGAATCCGGATGCGTTCTTGTACTGAAATACGTCACACTACATGCTTGTATTCTTTCATTCTGTGTAACATTATGCATAGATCTCTTTGTAGAATGGGAGTGCTTTTTTGTGAATTTACTCATTTTGTTTTTTGTTTTAACTCATTTTACTCTCAATTTTTTGCATACAATTATTGTGCTCCTCAGTCTCAAATTTTAACTCCTGTAACAATTCATCATCAGAACTTAGATCTAGTTAAAGGCATTTACAACTTCTTTAAACTGTGACTCTTCTGCCTTTCTATGATCATTAAGTTGATCCAAGCATACTACACTATCAAGTCTTGGTAATATCTCTGATAATACCTTTTTCCATGCTAGCCTAGCAGATGATAACCTCTTTATATACTGTGTTATTTGATACTCACGTCCTTTTTCTGTTAAAACTTTTTTTCCTAGCACCTTTCATTACCTCATTGACACCAGTTCCCTGAGGTTGGTCACCTACAGCCTCTTCAGTAGCACTCATTATTAAAACTATTATCTGTCTACTGACCTATATGGAACTTAACCCATTCACGCCGGGTGTCACGTATATGTGACGGGCCCACTGTGAGTTTACTTGTTTAATTGTTTTTACACATAGATGGCTGCACTTGTACTTGTACTGCTTGTCTCGCCTGTTTACCCTTTTCTTTAATTTACGAAAATATTATACGTTATCTTATTTTGCTGTTACTAATGTTCATAACATTATAGTAATTATAATGTTTATAATAAGAATAACCATCGATACTCATAGTACTAGTAAAAATACATTTTCCCGCCAAATGAAATCAGGTAAGGCAGAGCCATCTAGTGTCGAGAAATTTCACAAAAAGTATAAAAAATGAGCATAGCATTTTCCCCCATTTTTTGTTAATTTTCACCCGGCGCGAATGGTTTAAAACACACAATTTGTACCTATTAGTTAAAAGTTCACTAGCCTCTGTGACCTGTAGAGATGAAAAGTTTCTTTAAAGAGCAGAAGATCTTCCCTTAATTTATTAGTTATCCTCTTGCCTTTGGATTCTCACAAACATTCACACCGTTCTTCTATCCTTCTTGACCTTGAATTATCTTGTCTTGGATCTAGCAGATGCAGAAATCTTGAGACTGTTATTCTGCATGCAGATCTTGACAGATTTTTAACTGCTGTGCTGAGGAGGGTCTGAATTTAACTCATATGCTGAGTTTTTAACTGAACTCAGGAGTTTAACTGATGCGCTGAGTTTAACTGTTGCTCTGGGCTGATTTTAACTTTTGCATGATTAACTGCATGCAGAAGGTCTTGAGTTTAACTGAACTCGGTATATCCAACTGTTGTGAGCTGAGTTTAACTGAACTCAGTAAATCTAACTCTTTTCAACTGTATACAGGTGTATGAGTTTAACTGTTGCAGAGAGCCAAGAACCGGTGGGTTTCACTGGAAACGCTTGAGACTTTTTGTGGTACTTTATTGCATCTTGGATACATCTCGATTTCTTCTCATTAAATGCAATTCATTACCATCCATTTCTATTCCAATTATTTTCCAATTGTTTCCGTTAAAATGAAATTAACAAATCTTTAACTAATACATAATAATCATATTACATTCTAATTCAATTGTCTTTATATAACAATATACCATTTACTTATACTAATATAAAAAATATATCAACAGATTACAAAGATATACTCAGATATTTTACCTCAGACACCTCACTTGGCTTCTCTGAGTAACAA